TGGCACTGCTCAGGTGTTATGAGAGCCCAGGTTGGTCTGATAGTGGCCTTCAGCTCTGCTGCATTGTTGGGTCTGGTGTATTGCATCTTCCTCTTCACAATACCCCATAGATTTTCTATAGGGTTAAGGTCAGGCGAGTTTGCTGGACAATTAAGAACAGGGATACCATGGTTCTTAAACCAGGTACTGGTAGCTTTGGCACTGTGTGCAGGTGCCAAGTCATGTTGGAAAATGAAATCTGCATCTCCATAAAGTTCTCTAAAAGTGCTCTAAAACTTCCTGGTAGACGGCTGCGTTGACCTTGGACCTCAGAAAACACAGTGGACCAACACCAGCAGATGATATGGCACCACAAACCATCACTGACTGTGGAAACATTACACTGGACTTCAAGCAATGTGGATTCTGCGCCTCTCCTCTCTTCCTCCAGACTCTGGGACCTTGATTTCCAAAGGAAATGCAAAATTTACTTTCATCAGAGAACATAACTTTGGACCACTCAGCAGCAGTCCAGTCCTTTTTGTCTTTGCGAGACGCTTCTGATGCTGTGTCTTGTTCAAGAGTGGCTTGACACAAGGAATGCGACAGCTGAAACCCATGTCTTGCATACGTCTGTACGTGGTGGTTCTTCACTGACTCCAGCTGCAGTCCACTCTTTGTGAATCTCCCCCACATTTTTGAATGGGTTTTGTTTCACAATCCTCTCTAGGGTGCGGTTATCCCTATTGCTTTTACACTTTTTTCAACCACATCTTTTCCTTCCCTTCGCCTCTCTATTAATGTGCTTGGACACAGAGCTCTGTGAACAGCCAGCCTCTTTAGCAATGATCTTTTGTGTCTTGCCCTCCTTGTACAAGGTGTCAATGGTCGTCTTTTGGACAGCTGTCAAGTCAGCAGTCTTCCCCATGATTGTGCAGCCTACAGAACTAGACTGAGAGACCATTTAAAGGCCTTTGCAGGTGTTTTGAGTTAATTAGCTGATTAGAGTGTGGCACCAGGTGTCTTCAATATTGAACCTTTTCAAAAAATTCTAATATTCTGAGATACTGATTTTGGGGTTTTCATTAGTTGTCAGTTATAATCATCAAAATTAAAATGAATGAACACTTGAAATATATCACTGTGTGGAATGAATGTATACATTATACAAGTTTCACTTTTTGAATGGAATTACTGAAATAAATAAAAAAAACTTTTTGATGATATTCTAATTATATGACCAGCACCTGTATGCTCTATAAAGTTCATCCTCCCTTATGTTCCAAACATTCCCTTTTGTTTCCAGGTTATATGGTACAAATGATATTTATATTTTATTTATACACTGCTCAAAAAAATAAAGGGAACACTAAAATAACACATCCTAGAAATAATCTCATTAAATACTCCTTTCTTTACATAGTTGAATGTGCTGACAATAAAATCACACAAAAATTATCAATGGAAATCAAATCTATCAACCCATGGAGGTCTGGATTTGGAGTCTAACTCAAAATCAAAGTAGAAAACCACACTACAGGCCGATCCAACTTTGATGTAATGTCCTTAAAACAAGTCAAAATGAGGCTTAGTAGTGTGTGTGGCCTCCACGTGCCTGTATGACCTCCCTACAACGCCTGGGCATGCTCCTGATGAGGTGCCCAGACCTGGACTAAAGCATCCGACAGTCTGTGGTGCAACATGGCGTTGGTGGATGGAGCGAGACATGATGTCCCAGATGTGCTCAATTGGATTCAGGTCTGGGGAACGGGCGGGCCAGTCCATAGCATCAATGCCTTCCTCTTGCAGGAACTGCTGACACACTCCAGCCACATGAGGTCTAGCATTGTCTTGCATTAGGAGGAACCCAGGGCCAACCGCACCAGCATATGGTCTCACAAGGGGTCTGAGGATCTCATCTTGGTACCTAATGGCAGTCAGGCTACCTCTGGCAAGCACATGGAGGGCTGTGCGGCCCCCCAAAGAAATTCTACCACACACCATTACTGACCCACCGCCAAACCGGTCATACTGGAGGATGTTGCAGGCAGCAGAACGTTCTCCACAGCGTCTCCAGACTCTGTCACGTCTGTCACATGTGCTCAGTGTGAACCTGCTTTCATCTGTGAAGAGCACAGGGCGCCAGTGGCGAATTTGCCAATCTTGGTGTTCTCTGGCAAATGCCAAACGTCCTGCACGGTGTTGGGCTGTAAGCACAACCCCCACCTGTTCTGACAGTTTGAGCAGACACATGCACATTTGTGGCCTGCTAGAGGTCATTTTGCAGGGCTCTGGCAGTGCTCCTCCTGCTCCTCCTTGCACAAAGGCAGAGGTAGCGGTCCTGCTGCTGGGTTGTTGTCCTCCTACGGCCTCCTCCACGTCTCCTGATGTACTGACTTGTCTCCTGGTAGCGCCTCCATGCTCTGGACACTACGCTGACAGACATAGCAAACCTTCTTGCCACAGCTCGCATTGATGTGCCATCCTGCATTTAGCTGCACTACCTGAGCCACTTGTGTGGGTTGTAGACTCCGTCTCATGCTACCACTAGAGTGAAAGCACCGCCAGCATTCAAAACATCAGCCAGGAAGCATAGGAGCTGAGAAGTGGTCTGTGGTCACCACCTGCCGAACCACTCCTTTATTGGGGGTGTCTTGCTAATTGCCTATAATTTCCACCTGTTGTCTATTCCATTTGCACAACAGCATGTGAAATTGATTGTCAAACAGTGGACAGTTTGATTTCACAGGAGTGTGATTGACTTGGAGTTACATTGTGTTGTTTAAGTGTTCCCTTTATTTTTTTGAGCAGTGTAGTTTAATGCTGTGACTTGTTACCTGTTATCTTGTTAATTGCATTTGGGAACAATGTTATTATTCATTTTATCTGTCATAATGACTTTATGTATTCATGCTTCTGTTTACTTTTCAGACCTGTGCCAGTGTTGCCCTACAGACCACCAAAGACTCATAAGGACTGCTGAGCTCTTGACATCATGGACGAGTAGATCTCCCACCAACAGTCGGAGACTTAGTTGATTTGCACTAAATACTGAGACTCTGTAAGACCTTTCGGACACTTGGAAGTATCACAGAGTTTCCAGTGAAAGAGGGCTAACATCCCACCTCGGTGCTATGCCTCTAAAGGTGCTTTGTTGTCCTCGCTCAGGTACCAATTAACTATTTATCTATTTAAGTATTTAACACCAATATTACCAGTGTGCACAGAGCTCTCCGATCAAGAGTGACCTTCCCAACGGAAAAGTTTAGAAGAAAAGGAAACATGGTGTGATATATATATAATTTTTTGCATTTGGTGATTTTTATACTTTTTTTTTTCTCAAATGAAATTCTAAAATAACAATGATGTTTTTATAACCAGTGAAGTTGCTTGAATAATTGAAGCGCAAAAAAGGACTAAAATGAAGATAAAGGGAAATGAACGTCAGTTGTTGCAGTAGCTTGTGGGCTGTAGAGCAGTGTTATTTATTCCATTTTTCATATTTTTATTCTGTATTCAATACCAAATACGTATTTTGTATCCGTGTCGACACGGTGCTACAAAGTAGATATTAATCAAAAAATGCTTTTTTATTAACAGTGGACTCATATTAAAGCCTCGGACTACATTTTTATGGGATTAATCCAATCAACTCATTTTACAGTCTCATGACCAGGCTCTGTTATTCCCTCATAAGTTCACTTGTGCAGTAAAGTGCAAACAGGAAAAGTATTCTTCACAAATTTCAGACTGGCTCTGGCACACCGCTTGGGGCGTGTGTTGGACGCTCTACATGTTCTCCTGATACTGGCAGACGCTGCGGAGTCTCAACAGATTTGACAGACTGATTGTGTTCCAGAGAATTACACCAACACCAAATAATTCAACACTTACACTGGTGTTTGTATGTTTAACGTTCACGCTCACTTTGTCCTTGAGCATGCGAGCCAAGCAGAATGACTTCAGTGCTGTGAGCTTTCCAAGCTCCTCCTCGACTGTGTCCAGCGAGATGCTTCACTGTATCTGTCCCGTCTTGTCTTTTTTTTTTGCCTTCATTACATTCCATTTGGATTTTGTACGGCTTCTTGAACTCTGAGATTATTTATGCATTCGCTGCATCTTTCATTAGATTCAAAGCTTGGACTCTGAGTTAAGCAATTTTATTGATGTTATTTGTTGTTGACTTGCTGCATAACTGTTAAAAACTTCACAGCACAGTTCTTTTTCCTGTGTTAGTGTTCATTTTATATTTGCATTGTATTCAAATGCAGTGCTTGTCTTCTCACCACTGCAGAATGATTGAAGCTGGTAAAGCTCTGCATACCTGCGTTGCAGCTGTCTACAGAAGTGTGCAAGCAATGCTTTTTCTTGTTTTGAAAGTGTTCAGATATGTTGGACAGTCAGTGTAACTGCTCGCCGCCGGAAAATATTTGTCAGTGCTGTGTCCGTGTCGTTAAACGTTTCTGCCATTTGTAAATTCTAAATGTATTGTTAATTTGCATAAGTGTAACATGTGTAAAACCATTGTGAAATGTAAATATTGTATGTCAGTTATAATTTTTGTTCCCTTTTTTGTTCTTTTTTACAAGCACAGTAATGTAAGAACTGCTTTGAGGCCGTGCCCCATTTACACTGGGTGGTGAAAACGTGATTTTGAAGATTTCAGCGTATAATTTGTTGGCTAGAGACAAATGTTTAAGGATAACATTTAAACTGGGAGATTTTATTGATGAACTGAAAGCCAAATAAAAGTTCCTTTATAACTGTTTACAACAAGTTGATTTCATTTTGTTCTCACTTTGAAGTTATTCAAAAATAACTTAAGAAATAGACAAGAGAGGAAGTTTCTTTAACCACAAGTGGCTGTTAAAGAGATAAACAAAGATTCATAATAATAATTTTCATCATTTGCTGGACATGAATAATTAACTGACACCATTAGTAACTGTTTTTTGTTGTTTTTTGCCTTTGAGAAGACGAGTGTGCCTAAAGCTCAGCTCACCCAATAACAAAGCCACCACTTTGATCATTCGGAATATTTTTATTTGTAAACGACTTGTATCATAATCCTTCAGTGTAAGAACAACTAGCAACATATGATAACTTAAAAATGTGATGAATACACAACATTTTGCTCATCCTTTTCTCTAATTAACAGCAACCAATAAGCAGTGATTACACAAATATAAGTGTGTCAGAAAAACATGTAAGGTATGTGTAATTTTCCCAGTGATTCACTTTATGAAAGGGTCCCATCAATCTGTGACCTCACTCTTGACATGTGGGTCTGCTCTGCTGTCTCAACTCTGCTGGAGCAGCCTGTCATGGTTGTTTAACACTGCCACCTGCCAGACAACACTGGTCATTACAAAAACTGAAACACTTCCTCCATCCCTCCATCCCTCCAGTTTTATCTTATCTTGCCTTCATGTGCTCCCTCAAACCACAGGTTAAAGTTGCCCTTGGGCCCTGATTAAGGATCAGAACCCCTAACATTTGTTAACTCAGACCATTACTGGGGAAGAATACAAAAACAGGAAAAGCCTTAACCTCTAAACTGCCCTTATAGTGAACTAAAGAACACAATGGAAACACAAGTAAATAATATTATTCACACCAATGTCTGTTATGAACTAAAATCTTTCACAGATTGTTTTTAAAGGCAACAAACGAAACGGAAGTCAGTGGGCTTTTTTATTAGAATGTGAAACAGTAACTTTGAAGTATGCCATCATACCAACAATTAAGGAGTGGGTAGCTTGCAAGTGTGACCGTATGAATGTTATTTTACAAAATAGTTTATTTATTGAACTGTAATTTACTAGTTTCCAGCCACTTGTGGGTGCTGAAAACATTTTACTTTTTTTTTTTACTAATATGAGTAGGAAGAAAGGAATCGTTTGGCATTTTGGCAAATGCTTATTCGCTGTCTTACCTGGAGTTAGATGAGAAGATATAACTGCTATGCTGCAATGTCATGTCTGAGTAGGCCTGAGCAAAAGTATAGTTTACCTCCAGCAACCATTCAGCTAAGGAGACAGAGAGCTAGCTAGCCTGCTGTGCTATCGGTTATTACTAACAAATAAAATGTCTGGAACATAATGTTAAAGAATCGTTTTTACATTTTAGCGTGTCTACAGATTAAATAAACAATACTGTGTTGATTACTAAACTTTAGAGGCCCTGGCTGCCTTTAGAAAGAGCCAGGCTAACTGTTTTCCTCTGAATCCAGACTTAATGCTAAACAAAGCTAACCGGCTGTCAGTCAGCGTTAGCTAACTAGCAAACTGTCTCTAAGAAAGCAGGAAAAAAAGGTGTATTTACAGAAATTTTCAACATTTACTTTATCTCCTGTTAGTATGGAGGTAAATTACTGTATTACCTGCTCAGGCCCTTGTTGTCAGCACGGGGACTTGAGATTAGTAAACTACAAAGGTGAAGTTTCTTAAAGGTTAGTTATTCAGATACTTTTACCTAAGTAGCAATACCAAAGTGCAACTTAGAAATGCTATAACTGAAAAGCCTGCATTCAAAATGTTCTTTTAGTAAAAGTACAAAAATATTTTACTTAATTTTAGTACTTAAGTAAATGTTTCTGCTATAACATTATGATACTGTACAATTTTTGTACACCCCTGTTGGTCCATATATGCACTGGCCCCCATTTCAAATAATGTTTTAATAATGTTACCAAAATACTTTTTTTTCCTTTTGTTTTTTTCTTGCAGACTGAAAGTAGAGCACAACAGACTTTTGTGCCAAGCTCCTAGTTTTACAGGTCTTCATTTCTGACACAACCCGTGGTTCTAGGAAGTATAAATAAATTAGTGGTTCTTTAACCACTGAGATAATCCATTTCTAAATTGTGAAATTAAACCACAGTTAATAAATAAATGCTTTTTACACTTTGTACAGCTTGTGTGCTTTGTGTGTGAGCCAGTTGTCATTGTAAACATCAGACCCCTCTGAGTGTCTGCCCATCTATCTCTGTGTGTGTGCGTGTGTGTGTGTGTGTGTGTGTGTGTCATCTGTTGATGACCTCACTTCTATGGGATTAGTGACCACATGACAACACTGGGTTGGACGCCTAGTGAGCCTTTCATTTGGCTTCACTTGCAGAGGCGGTGTGTGTGTGCCGTCCCACAGTTCACTGAGAGCTGGAGATTTCTAAACTTAATTTCTGTGGATCTGTAAATGAAGTCTAAATCGGACAGACTGGGAGCTCAGTTGTGATGGCGCAAGACATCACCAATTTATCTGGAGAGGACTATTTTGAGGGGAAATCACCCTGTTGTTCAGACACAGAAGCTTTGAGTCAAGGAGACAAAGAATATGATGATATTTTGGAGCTTAATCAGTTTGATGGACTGCCTTATTCTTCCAGGTTTTACAAATTGCTGAGAGAAAGGAAAGCTCTGCCAGTGTGGAAAGCAAAGTGTGAATTCATGGACACTTTGGCCAAAGGACAGTTTGTCATTGTCAGTGGCTCTGCTAAAACTGGGAGAAGTTCTCAAGTGAGTACTGTGGGGCATTTGACACTTCAGATTGCACTGCCATGGAAAATACTGCACATTTCATATACACAACAGCAGATTCAGCTTTGTTACAGGGAGATACTCAAGCCTCTCTCGCTATCAACTTAAAGTGGGGAAGCAACTTATCTCACTCTTATTTTGAAACAGATTCCCCAGTGGTGTGCTGAATTCTGCCTGTCAGTCCAGTTCCAGCATGGCATGGTGGTTTGCACCCAGATTCACGCACAGCAGGCTGTAGATCTCTCCTTAAGAGTGGCTGATGAGATGGATGTTAACATTGGCCATGAGGTCGGTTACAGTGTCCCTTTGGAAACATGCTGCACTAATGATACAGTCCTCAGGTATGGTAAAGCAGTACTTCCTACTTTGAAATGCTCATGTATCCAGTGTTTCTCTATCTGATTCATTCTCTCCGCCGCCGGGTTACAATAAAGCATGGTCTTAACACGCAGCTAAATCACCCCGCCTTTTCTTACTCTCAAGAGAGAAGTGAACAAAAGGCTCGAGGGGGCTCTTTTCAGGGGCTTCTCCACAGCTGCCCGGCTCCCTGTCTGCCCATATGTCACACTCCCTCATGTGGGTTCCTTATAAGTCAGCTGGGGAACAAAGAACCTCAGCACATTGAGGGGTGGGAGATAAAGCAGCCGGCAAGTACGAAAGGATCCACTCCCCCGACTAATTATTAGAGTAAATTACACTTAATAGGGGCAAAGCTGATGTGCAGACAAAGTTGCTTTCATTAAGTTGCCATTCTGAGGAATGCTGAATGGATTTCCTGAATATATTGTTCCACTCTTTCAGCCTAGAGGCTTACAATAAAATTAATCTGAGGATTTATTTCAGGCTGTTATGAATTTGAATACAGTGTGCGTCAAGTGTCTCTGTGGTGCACATATTTGCTCCCTGTTAATGTAATGTCAAGCATCCTTGACATCCTTGTCTCACCCACCACAGGTACTGCACAGATGACATGCTCCTGAGAGAGATGATGTCAGACCCTTTGCTTGAGCACTATGGTGCGATAGTCGTGGACCAGGCTCACCAGAGGACCGTAGCCACGGATGTACTGCAGGGTTTACTGAAGGACATCGCCCTGCAGAGGCCAGAGCTCCGCGTGGTCCTCCTCACAGCCGTCGAACCCGACCCCAAGCAGCTGGCCCACTTTACCGGGTCAGCGGTGCCTCTGATCCGCCTGGAGGGTGCGGGCATGGGGGATGTAGTGTACAGCAGCACAGGTGACAGCTACTTCTGCTCTGCCGTCCGTCTGGTGCTGGAGATCCACCACTCAGAAGAGGAAGGAGATGTGGTTGTGTTTTTGGTGACAAATCAGGTACAAAATATAAAATAGCAGTGCAGCATGACTGATGGAATCAATGTCTTCCTCTGACTTTCTTCTTTGTTGACTCCCTACCAGGAGATAGATCTGGCCCATGACATCCTGTGTAATGAGGGACATAGCTTACCCCCTGATCTGGGTAAGCTCCTGCCCGTTGCTGTGCACCCTGGCCAGCCTGGGAATCCACCAATCCTGGGGGAGGAGGAGACAGGCCAGGCCCGCAGAGTATTCCTCACATCCAGTCCAAACGAGGACTTCTTCTGGGCTGTTAGCTCAGTGCGCTTTGTCATTGATGCCGGGCTTGAGAAAAGATCTGTAAGTTAGTACTTATTTGATGTAATTTTAATAAGCGTTAAAGTGATTACATCAAGACATCTTAAACATATGAAGGTTGAGTTCCAGCGTTATAAATCATATTACTGCCCAGAAGTGGGGATGTGAATTTTAGGGTCACCCTACCATGTGTTGTTGTTTTAATTAAAATGTTAAGTATGAATTAGGGTCGTAACATCATGTTATCATGTATTGTATTTTGTATCATTATCACACTGTGCAGATTTGTGTAAATGTTTAAATGTCATTATAATATAATCAGTTATGAGAGAAGTATTCAGATACTTTACTTGAGTAAAAGCAGTAAATAAATTCAAAATCTTCCTTAAGTAAAAGAAGAGAGGTATCATCAACTATATCTACTGAAAGTAAAAGTACTAGTTATGCAGAAAAGTAGAACTTTAAGTGTTATATCAATACTTTTTTTAGCTTTATTTTATTCTGGTACTTTAAAACATGAGTAGCATTTTAATTTAGTCGGGTTAGAGCTAGTTTTGTCTACTTTACATATTGGGTAGTTTAATCTATATGCATTATACTTTATAAGCTGATAAATGTCTTGTAAAGTAACTGGTAGGCCTAACGATAGTTGTCATATAAATGTAGTGGAGGAAAAAGTAAAGTTCACTGAGAGCTGGAGATTTCTAAACTTCCTCTGAAAAGTAGGGTACTTGAGGTATTAACTATTTCAGGAAATGTACTGCATTTGACCACTGTATATAATCCAAGTCAACACACTGTTACAGGTTTACAACCCCAGAATCAGAACAAACTCAGTTGTCATTCAGCCTATCAGCAGCGGTCAGGCCAAGAGTCGGAAACAGCTGGCAGATCCAAAAGGTGGGAACTTAAACTGTTAAAATGTTCAATGTTTGATGTAAATCTCTGGCTAAAAAAGACCTTTCTAACCTGCAGGCAAGTGTTTTTGTCTGTACCCAGAGGACAGACAGCTTCCCGGTGAGAAACGCCCACACATCGTGGAGTCTGACATCACTTCCACTGTGCTCTTCTTGAAGAGGATGGAGATCGCTGGACTGGGCCACTGTGACTTCATCGACAGGCCAGGTGATATTTACATAAATAAAAAAATAAACATAAAGAATATGTTTATGGCGGTTTGTTTTGGCCAAACTCCTCTTGTTACCTAACTTTCACATGTCCTCAGTGATAATGACATGAATTTTGAGTTCAGTCAGCCCAATTCCCTTTTGTTCCAACAGACAGGAACTTTTTTTATTAGAGGGCAGTGAGCCGTGCCTCAGCCGAACTGACAGCTCTGCAAGCTTTCTTTTCGAGCTGACCTGCTTCCATGTGCTTTTGTTCCCCCGGATTTATCCGCCCTCGCTAACACAATCACACACACAGACAAAGGCGGCCTCCCATTAGTTGATTAGAGCATAAACATAGTGCTGGTGTGCGAGAGTGTCCATGTCTCTCTTTCACCGTGATGTTCATAGAAAAACATGTTTGTTGCAAAAACAAAATAGAAAATCTCATTTGTACCATGAAAGAATTTCCATTTTGCATAGTGATGCACGGCAGATGTTGGTGAGGATTATAAAATCCTAATCTTCTGCTGCCTTTTTACTCAGCGTGCCCACCAGGGTGCCAGTATACTGTAGGGGGATCCTCCTAGTGGGTCACCATTCTGGATTACAGTTTAGGCAGCATGGACACTGAAAAATAATCCATAATAGTTAAAGTGTATTTGTATGTAATTAATAATCTCCTACTTTAAATACTAGACAGTCATAGAGATAAGTACTTAGTTGTCTAGGGGATTTGGTCCCCAGTTTTCACCCACATGTTCAACATGATTAAGGTTTCATTTTGTAAAAATACTAACAAACAAAAAAACAAATCTTTTCCAACCCAGATCCTGGAGGCCTAATGCAGGCCTTGGAGGAGCTAGACTACCTGGCAGCTCTGGATAATGACGGCAACCTGTCTGAGATGGGCATTATCATGTCCGAGTTCCCTTTGGAGCCCCAAATGGCCAAGACTCTGCTCGCCTCCTGTGAGTTTGACTGTGTCAGCGAAGTGCTCATCATTGCTGCCATGCTAACAGGTAAGCCATGCCTGACATTTGAACAAATAAAATCCCATACAAGACCCTATACATGTACTACTATTCTGTTATGTGTCTTATCGGGTAAACAGTAAATTCTAAACATTGCATTTGTCTTGCGGATTTTTTAGCACCAACTTGCTTCATGATTCCCTCTGTGGACCTGAAGCCAGAGGCAACCCAGTGCCACATGAAGTTCCAGCACCCGGAGGGAGACCATTTCACCCTTATCAATGTCTACAAGGCCTTTAAACAGTGGCAGCAGGATCCATGTGAGTACAGAGAGCACACAAACACAAACACACACACACACACACACACGCACGCTATGGAGATATATGAATGAAGAAATATCATGGTAACTGTTAGCAAAACAAGTATATTGGCCTAAACAATGATATTAATGGGCATAATAATAATAAATAATCACAACACATTATGATACTTTTTTATAAAAAATTACAATGATCAAAACATATAAAGTCTATTTCAATGACTAAACAAATTAAAACATTTTTGCCTCTGTTCTCTTCCCTTGTTAGACTGTAATGTGGAGAAGTGGTGTCAGGACCTCTACCTGAACCACGCTGCTTTGCTCATGGCTGACGCTCTTCGCACTGAGCTCACTGACACTCTGAAGAGAATTGAGCTGCCCATCTCAGATCCTGCCTTTGGTTCCCGAAGCAACACCCTCAACATTAAGAGAGCCCTGCTGGCAGGTTTCTTCATGCAGGTCAGACAACACAACTTTATGACACCAGCCAACAAAAACAACACATTATTAGATCAACATCGACAGCTCACAACATTTCAGCTTACATCAAACACCTCCTGAAGACTCTTGAAGTCCAAACTCCCCTAAAGTGGAACTAATGCAGCAATGTGGAACCATTAATGTAATACTGTGATTTTAGTTTCCACAAGCAATCATCATATGCTTATATATATTAATCTCTTTCTGTTCATTTACAATGTAGGTGATCAAAAATATACAGAAAGAATAATTTGGCTTTTTAAGTTTTGGTTTAATATTCACAATTAAAAACATACTTGGAAAAATTATCTGAATTATTTTTTGGCCATAATTGTGCAGCCCTACCACCTTGTGGCCATCAGCATTGCAATACACTGAATTGAACATATTTTTATTCTTCAACTGACAGATCTTTCTTTCATCTGACATTTGAACTGCGCATACACAACACCTGACATTGCAACAGCTTACTGTACACACTTGAACTGTCTTCAGATCTTCCACTTCAACTGCATTCATCTTTCAGTGCTTACCCTTAAACTGACACTTCACACCTTCTCAGCTCTCAGGCCTTCTCTGAACAACACCAAAAAACTCGAGCTCTTCTAACTTCCACAACTTTCATACATAATTTTGTCCAACTGCTTTCAGTTTCACACTACTGACATCTTCTTTTAGCTCGTACACATGAACTGGCACTATTTTCTTGCAGGACTTCCTCTTCAACTGAATTGAAGCTTCCAGTTCCTATTTATCACTTACACTTCAACTAAATCTTCACCTCGTTTCAGCACTTTGACTTCAGCTAATAATTCACTCACTGTTTACACTCAAATTAACCTTTTTAACTATTTCTGCTTCTCTAAGTTGTTGTTGTATTTAGACTGCCACTTCAACTGTTTCAGTATCTCAACTATTTTAGTTGTTTTAACTTTTTTCAACTTTTCAGCAGCATTGCACAAATAAATGGTCTTGTTGTCTGTTATGTTTGGGCTTAGTTCATGACTTTAAAGATGCATTTTGTATTTGGATGCTCCAGTCTTGCTTATTTAAAAAAAAAAAGTATTCTTAGGTACTGACTCCAGTCCCAGTGGTGAAAACCCATCTGCCTGACTCTGATTTCCCTCAGGTGGCGCGGGATGTGGATGGATCAGGGAACTATTTCATTCTGACCCACAAGCATGTGGCGCAGATCCATCCTCTGTCTGGCTACGGGGCAAAGAGCCCCAAGCTGGGCCTGCCGGAGTGGGTGCTGTTCCATGAGCACTCCTTCTCTGAGGACAACTGCCTCCGCACAGTAACCCACATAACGCCGGAGGAGTAAGTCTCAGCCATGTTCACATTTTGTTCTTTGTATATTTTATTGTGCACTTGGCTTGCATTCACATAAATAACCATTTACCAGTCTGGTTAACCAGCCTGCAGTGTTGCTTTAATAGAAGTACACCTCCAGTGTGTCTTCCCATTTGAGGAAGCTTAAAGGTAATCAGACAGACACATTCCCCTTCCATTTTGGACCAGATGTAAAGCTCCAGTTCAGCAGAGACTAGTCATGCTTGTGAGGGAGGTATCATAATCCTGTTCGCTAGTATCAGCTAGTTGGAGAGGGGATTATGGATTGCACAGATCCCTGGGAATGTGGAGCTGCAGCTTAATGGACTAGGAGAAAGCTCTGCAGCCTTTGTCATGCTCTCTTAGGTTCCACCTCCTGAAATGTGACTCTGTTCATTGCAGTTAAAAAAAAATGTGAGGAGCAGATAAAGTATCTGTAAGTCTTCTCTCCAACAAAAGTGGGTGTCAATAAAAACGAACCCCAAATTGAAAACTGGTTTGCAAATGGAAATCACTTAAACTGCGATGCACAAAACTCTGCTTAACACACTGAGCGTTAACACACTGTCCTCTCCCCCCGCTAGGTTCATTCAGATGGCACCGCTGTATTATTTCTACAATCTACCGCCTAGTGAGAGCAAAGACATCCTCCAAAACATTTTGAACCATGGAGCTTCTCAGTACCAAGAGCAGAAACCTCCAACCTTCCAAGAGGAGCCCCAGGAGAACCAGACTTATGATCGCTGTATTATACAGTGACTAACTGTTCCCAGTGGTGGTGGGAAAATTACCAGTAGGACTTGCACTGTACTGTACAAGAGCACGTTGTCTGGATAGCTATATAATTGATCATATAATTTAATTTCCTTTCATCTGTGCCAGTCATTCCTCATTTTTGTCACAATATCATGTCTTGTATTTATCTTTAGTTACAAAGTGCACCATTATATAAAACAATAAGTGCTGTTCTTTTGTTGATTCTGTCCAATTACTTATATTTGCACTTAACCCTCCTATTCAACAGTTTGCTTTTAAATTTTACAATTTATTTTCACAGTCCCAGTAAACTTTTTTATGATTCTGTGGCTCCACATCTTACCTTTAGTCACTGTCCAACAGTCAGTCACCCACAGCAACGAGGGTCCAGCCTGATTAATGAGGTGCAGAGATAGTTTGGGCCCGCCTGCAGCTCCATCTGGCTTGGATACAGTTCACTAACAGTGGGTTGACCCAGTTCGCTGACACTGCATTGGAAAATATCACGTCCCCTCTTCAGTGACCCGGGTCTGAGTAGTGCAGCAAGGACCAAAGCCAGAACCCACTTAAAATCTTTTACTCTGAGTTGATTTTTCAAGGCACAACATCTGCACATAATATTATATAATAATATATTTGAGGTCATTTAGTAGAGGATTAAATGTTAGGATGAATAATAGTCTAGTATGTTGTAGTATGATCATACTGTATATTTGTTATCAAAGATCTGATTAAAACCACTTCAACTAAACGTTTAGTAGATGTGGCCTAAGACCACATTAGCATTGTGTGATGCTTTAGGAGAAACGTACAATATCATGAGGGTGACAGAACATCTACAGAAACAATGCATTTAAAATTTTTAAAAAAACTTTTATTTTTTATATCACAGCAAACCATGCTGATAGAAACTTACATTTCTACATACAGCAATGTGGACAAACTAGCCTCTGACTTTGCATTGAATGTTGCCAAGCTATTGCACAATGTTGTTTTGGAAAGTAAATAATGTTGTTTGAACTTGTTTTTAACTTGTCAGCCATCAGTCACACTTCATTCTATTTTATTCACAGCATTCTTGGTGTTATTGAATATCACAAACGCCAAATATATATTAAATTGAATCATCGGTTTTCTAAGCATGTACCAAATAATATATCTAAGCAACTGTGCGTAAAAGTTAAATGTGATTATACCATCTTTGTTTCTTATGTCGTATGTTTTTGTTTATAGAAAAATGAGGCAATCCAGGTGATATTTGGTACAGTCAATAATAAATCCAACGCAAAGAAGCTTTACATATGAAACACAACAGCTTAAGCAATAAGAAAATTAAAATCTTCTGAATTTACAATTATTTTCACAAAATGTACAATTCAAAATCCGGGATGCAAATGTTAGAAAAAGATGATTACTTTGAAAGGCGCAGGAGGTGACGTTAGATTTGAAACTGTAAATACGGTGTTGCCTGAGCATGTGCCTGTTTATAATGGGGTCTGTAAATTGTTGTTTCCTGTCACAGCATTTGAGATGACAGGTATCAAGTCTTCCCTAGAGTAGGGCTTGGATGGCCGGCGAGGTGTAGAGAAGTGGAGTTAAAGTCTTGAGTGTCTTCCTCGCCACGGTCATTTCATTATCACAAATGCGTACCCGTGTTGTCACTTCCTGTTTGCGGGTTCAGCTGCTGCAAGAGCTCTATGTAGAGCATGATACGGCTGAGGAGAGGTGCGTTTTTCTCAGCTCGCAGTAGCTTGGAGTACACATTCTTATAGCTTTTCAACAGCTCCTCATCCTTATTGCTGTAATAAACAAAGATGAGTTAGTCAGGAGTGAAGGTTTCAATGATTTTAGATACTTAAAAATACCATAATGGTTTTAGATTCTTGCTCACCTTGGTTTCCGTTTCATTGTCGTCATCAGTTTGATCAGCTGCAGCAGCAGGAAGGAAAAACTTGGCTCAAACACACCAATTAGCTTCATCACTTCCTGGAGGTTCAGTCCTGAGGTGGGGCCACTGGCCACATCAGCTGATTCAGCAGGGTATGGTTCACTCAACTACAGGACAAGAAGGGAAGAGAAAAGATGTTGTAGGTTACAATGTATGATCTAGAAAAGGGCAACTGAACAACGCTTTGCAAAGATGATAAGCAAGAGAGCATTCCCATCTGCCACTCTGGAACTCACATCTACCTGCTCCTCCAGCAGCTCCTTATGAATCAGCTGGAGAGCGTGGTGAGTTTCTGTCATGATCTCCATTGCTCCAGTCAGGCTCTTGAGCTTAGCCGAGCTGCTGCTCTGACCTGTGGGAAGACAACATGAAACATTATGCCATTATGTTCTCCAATTCAGTTCTTCTCTTAAGACGTCACCGAACATCACATCATTCACCGTGATGAATAGCTACTCACCTGCCATAATAAACTCAGCAAAGGCCACCCTCTCCAGAAGCGTGCGGAGCAGCTCACAGGGAGCATCTCTGAGGCTGTGGAACAAACAGACAGCCTTGCTGTAATGAAGCTCTGCCAGGCTCCGATGCTGCTTCCTCAAGTGTTCATCCCCCACCTGTCACACAATTCGAGCCAGAAACACAGACATCCTTCAGTGTGTATTGTACTGCTGTAAGTATCAAACACAGACATCCCATCACCAATGATTCTGTTCTAGTCAGTGTGTAGTTCATTTTCTTTTTATAGACCAGTGGTACTCAAAGTGGGGTCCGGGGACCCCCAGGGGTCCTTGAGGGGGCAGCCCCAGCAAAAAGGGGAATATTTTATTTTCACTATACTTTCCATCCATAACAAAATGAAAAAAACCGTATGACTATTTCAGTCATGGGTTGCATACACTTTCTGTTATAAAACATACAGAAGAAAAAAATCCTATCAGTGGGGGACCCTGGGACAAAATCAAATGGGGGTCTGTCTAATTTGTCAGTTTAGGGGACCTTGACAAGAAAAAGTTTAAGAATCACTGATAGACAATAACGCATTGTTGTTTTTACATAAACCAAAAAATTATGTGTCAAAAGGTTGAGTTAAGAGACATTTATTATTAGTACAACATATTTAGATTTTATATTATCGTATAATTTTACATAGTTTCCCACCTGGTTGCGGAAGCAGCTGTGGTACATTGAGGCCAGGCGGTGGTGGATGGTAGCAGCTCTGTACTGGTAGAGCGGCTGACGAGCAGACTCAGTCTGCAGGTCACAGTACTTTAGGGACTTCAGCATCGCCTCAGTCACCTCCCGCTCGATCTGGGAAAAAAAACAAAAAAAAAACCACACACGCACTGATGATTTAAGGTTTTATCATATCTACAACCCCCATTCCAATGAAGTTGGGACGTTGTGTAAAACGTAAATACAAACAGAATACAATGATTATCAAATCCTTTTCAACCTATATTCAATTGAATACACCACAAAGACAAGATATTTAATGTTCAAACTGATAAACTTTGTGTTTTGCAAATATTCACTCACAATTTGATGCCTGCAACACATTCCAAAAAAGCTGGGACAGGGGCATGTATACAACTGTGTTACATCACCGTTCTTTTTAACAACACTCATTAAGCGTTTGGGAACTGAGGACACTAATTGTTGAAGCTTTGTAGGTGGAATTCTTTCCCATTCTTGCTTGATGTACAACTTCAGTTTCTTAACAGTCCGGGGTCTCCGTTGTCGTATTTTGCGCTTCATAATGCGCCACACATTTTCAATGGCAGAGAGGTCTGCAGGCAGGCCAGTCTAGTACCTGCACTCTTTTACCACGAAGCCGCGCTGTTGTAACACGTCCAGAATGTGGCTTGGCATTGTCTTGCTGAAATAACAGGGACGTCCCTGAAAAAGATGTTGCTTGGATGGCAGCATATGTTGCTCCAAAACCTGTATGTACCTTTCTGCATTAATGGTACCTTCATAGATGTGCAAGTTACCCATGCCATGGTCACTAACGCACCCCCATACCATCACAGATGCTGGCTTTTGAACTTTGCGCTGATAACAATCTGGATGGTCCTTTTCCTCTTTGGCCTGGAGGACACAACGTCCATAATTTCCAAAAACAATTTGAAACATGGACTCGTCAGACCACAGCACACTTTTCCACTTTGTGTCAGTCCATTTCAGATGAGCTCGGGCCCAGAGAAGCCTGCGGCGTTTCTGGTTGTTGTTGATATATGGCTTTCGCTTTGCATGGTAGAGTTTTAACTTGCACTTGTTGATGTAGCGACGAACTGTGCCACTGAGCCATGTGGTAATATCCTTTACACATTGATGTCGGTTTTTAATGCAGTGCCGTCTGAGGGATTGAAGGTCACGGGCATTCAATGTTGGTTTTTGGCCTTGCCGCTTACGTGCAGAGATTTCTCCAGATTCTCTGAATCTTTTGATGATATTATGGACTGTAGACGATGAAATCCCTAAATTCCTTGCAATTGTACGTTGAGAAACATTGTTCTTAAACTGTTGGGCTATTCTCTCACACAGTTGATCACAAGTGGTGAACCTCGCCCCATCCTTGCTTGTGAATGACTGAGCCTTTCGGGGATGCTCCTTTTATACCCAATCATGACACTCACCTGTTTCCAATTTACCTGTTCACCTGGGGAATGTTCCAAACAGGTGTTTTTTGAGCATTCCTCAACTTTCCCAGTCTTTTGTTGCCCCTGTCCCAGCTTTTTTGGAACGTGTTGCAGGCATCAAAGTGAGTGAATATTTGCAAAACACAATAAAGTTTATCAGTTTGAACATTAAATATCTTGTCTTTGTAGTGTATTAAACAGAATATAGGTTGAAAAGGATTTGCAAATTTTTTATTTTTTTTTATTTATGTTTTTTCACAACGTCCCAACTTTTGGAACTGGGATTGTAGACCTTACTGATGCAAAGCAACTGATTATGCACCCAAATATAGTCATGAGGATTGGGGACTGATTGGACTTTTGGAGGATATGAAGGTTGCCACAGCACATGGGAATGTGCCATTCAGTGGAAAATGCAAGATTATCAAAATGTGAGGAAGAGCTCAAAGTTTGACTTAATTTGGAATATTTATTCACTAGTACGTGAAACATAAGTGTTCAAACCCACCTGCTCCTGCGCCTTCCTGGACAGCGGGGCGAAGTCCTGCAGAAGTGTAGCCAGGGTGAAATAGGTAGTGGACAGCTCCCAGTTTACACTGTCCCACACCGCTGGGTGGCTCTCTCTGCTTGCCAGTGACTTCATAGCCCGCAAGTAGTAGTCTATGGCCTGGGGTAAAAATCACATGAAAAATATTCATATTTAAGAGCATGCTTGGGACGGGTCAGGATGTAGCAAGATGTATAAAAAGATCATTAAGATTGCAACATAACAAATTATTTCTCATTGCTTCAATGTGAATGCTCAGTGCAAACATAACGAGTTTTACATGGCACCTTGTTGTAGTAGAGGGCTTCTTCAGGGGAGAACTCCCCTCTGCTCTGGTCGGCAGAGATGGAACAGTGGGCCTGTGCACAGATTCTCATCAGCCTGCCAGTATTACACAGCAGCAAGGCTGTGTTGGTGCTGTCCCTGATGGCTTCAAAGTCCTTCATGCCTTTCTCAAAGAAGGCAAAACTCTTTTTCCACATCTCTTGCTCTGCTACAGACACCGACTTCTTCACTAGAAGGCGAGGGGGAGGAGGAGAGGGCAGTTAAATAAAACCATATAAGCATAATGGAGCAATACATTTTTATGAATTGTTTTTTAACCCCATAGATTTGCTGTTCCAGGTGCAACTAGATTTTGTTTGTCATTATACTTCCTGTGCAAAGCATGTAAATTTCAACATTACTCATGCAAGTCCAGAAATGCAAATCACATAAATAAATACAGGAGGCTGCATCTATAAATGGAAAGTGTAGTGTTTTCTGTACACACACTATATTGGTGGCTGTAATTAAATATAAAGCTCCATCTGCTGTCTATTAACCCAACGTACCTTCTTTCTCAGTCTGCATGGCTGCAGCCTGGTTCATATAGTAGACTCCCATCTCGTTGCGGATGTTTCCCAGCCTTTTGAGCACCTGAGCCAGCTGATCTGAGGCATGATCTTTCAGAGCCTCAGAGACCAACAGTTCATACGCTGCCTCATAGCACTTACTGCTAACAAACAGCTGGTACTCTGGGTCCATGGCCAGGTCTGTTGCCATGTTAAAGGCTGGCAGGAAGAGATTAAAACCATTGACAAATGGAATGATCCATAATTGAACAGAACAACTTGAAAAGACAAAACATTATAGGACATTTTGGGTAAAGCAAGCACTGACATTTTTGTGAATAAAGTTGGTGGAACTGAAATAGATACACACCAGTTAACAGGCCTTAAAGTGTTTGCTAACACCACACTGTGTGCTTTAAGATTTGTATGCTCTCTTTAGTGATCTACCTTGACAGCTACTCTCTCTGTGCAGACTGTGCAGGATCTCTTGGTCCTCTTTGGTCTGGTAGCTATATTCCTCCAGGTAAGCTGCTCTGTTGTGTGCATTCTGGGCCAACATCAGCTGGATGTCCCCACACAGAGACAGGCCCTGACTGTGAAACTGCAGCACCTGCGGGTGCAGTGTACCGCTCACTGAACAATAGGCATCTGGAAGGAATAATAGAAGAAGGGAAGAGAAAAGAGTAATTGTATTGCTTCATAAAATATTGAAGTAACGTTTGTATCCTGTATGAAGATTAAAAAAAATGTAATTCTTCCACAAAGAAATGTAGTTTTAGTGGTGGACTGGAGTTGTAATTATTTCATTATTAAATATTTATTTTATCAGATAAATATTTAAGCAGCCAAAGGTGGTATTTAATGAAAGTTTCAAAACAGTTTCAGATGTCAGATGTAAGTACTTAAGCCATTATTGTACTCTATTCATATTTAACTTTAACTGAATAAATCAATGTAAAATAACGTAATGTCAACAGAGACAGAGTCAGCAACAGATATTTCCCAACGTTTTCCTGCGTATTACAGAGTTAAATAACCTTACCGTAACACTGCAGAGATAGCTTGATGTAGCGCAAGGCTCGCCCATACTTCAGCAAATTAGTGGCTGCGTCAGACAGGACGTAATAGGCCTTGGAGGCTTTGAGGAAGAGCTGCAGTTTCATCCGGTGCTGCCACGAGCCAGGGATCATCCCTGAGCGTGTTGGGTGCTTCTGGTCCGCCTGCAACGGCCCCGCTGGTAGGGTTGAGAGATAAACAATGCACTTGTAGTAAAATCTTTTCGCAACAATTTGTGTCGTTCATAAGAAAAACACTTGATTTGACCTAGACTGTATGTCATAATGTTTACCTACTTCCTGTTTTATTATACGGTATTATATCAATTATCCTTTGGAATAAGGACTGTAGACTAACCTCGTTCCAGAAGACGAGAGATGCCTGTCTCAGCAGCACAGGCTCCGATTTCACTTCTGTCCTCATATTTGAGAGGAATGGGTGTGTTAGGGTCTGCAGCTGGGAGATCACTCTCCTTCTTGATGGTGCCATCCACTGCCTTCAGCCCCTGTGTAGTGTATTCAGTGATTAGTAATACAGTGGAAGACAAATTTATTGTCACATTATTAGCACTACATCAGGCAGACTTGCCTTTAGTACGTAGCTCAGGACGTGCCTGCATTTCTCCTCCTTGTCTTGAGAAACAGGGAAAGCGCAACTTGGCTGCAGGGATCAAAAAAGGGAAGATTATTCTTTGGTGTTTATATAAAACATATTCATCTGTGTATTTCCACACTGTCCCCTAAGGTTGGTGTAGAAAACATTTAGAGAGGCACTCACTCTGATCTGGTGAGTGGACTTGTATTTCTCCGGGACAGACAGCTCCCCTACAGAGCGGATCACAGCCACAGCTTTACTATCAGGGCTGGAGCAGGAGCTGTAGGAGCCGTTCTCATCGCTGTCCTCTGTCAACTCCGCCTCCTCCTCTTCCTCCTCCCTGTCTTCGTCGCTGTAGCTGTCCTCTGAGCCGCCAGCCCGGAGCGACTCTCCGCAATCTTCTTGGGGAGGCTCATCGAGCTGGAACAGCTCTGACAGCATGTAGTGGGCTGAAGCGATGATCTAAACAGACAGGAGATGGAGATCAGGACTGGAGTCAAGTTCAATCAAATCTAAACTATGGTATTCTCAGATTTAGTCAAGTGGTTTCACTTTTTACTTCCCTGCTGTCTGAGAATAGATAAAAAAAAAAAAAAAACTACTCTTATTTTAAAAGGAAACATTTAATTATGGAACTACGGTAAAACTCCAATTAGTAGCCCGGGCTTTTATTTGCTTAAATCAATGAACTCACCCTGCCCATTTCTGGGACAAGCGTCTATATAGGACAGGCCTTTAATCCCTTTACCTTTAGATATGAATAAATAATACTTTGGTACTCATTGTTTCTGTAAAAGGAACTATTGAATTGTGGAGAATCTAGCCAATTTAATAATGTGTAGCATGTCCATGTTGACAAACCTGTAAAAGTGCTTAGAACTAGCTCAAGCAGGTGAACTGGTCAGCTTCAAGAGGTTTTATACATCCAAATAACTAATAATAACTAAAAAACCAGACCAGGTTTCTAATTGAGACCTGCGTTTAAAACATGTAGCCACACCAGGCCATTTTTGCAGAGCTGACATTCGCACAGCACCTCCTCTCGCTCCCTGTCTCTCTCTCTCTCATGAACACAGCTGTACAAATCTCTCCAACACATCGCTGTGAATTGTCGAGACCCACCTTAAAAATGTTATTAGCAAGCATGTAAGGAGCCTAGCTAATAATAGCTATATTAACGTTAGAATATAGCTGGGTTGTCAAGGTTAGTACGCTGTATATAGCTGGTAGTCAATATCAACTGTATGCACGATTAATTGTGCAGTCCTAGTAACCAATCAGGATGAATGATGATTAATATGGTATTTAAAGAGGGATTCTCCCTCTGTGCTTCTACCCATCATTTTACCTGTGAGGGTCTGGGTTTGATTCCAGTCCAGACAGTTTTGTTCATCTCCTCTTTTTCCAAGTCTTCTCTAACTCTAATTGTGAATTTTCAAATCCATGCTTACCTGGGGATGCCTCTCCTGATCCAGAAGTTTGACACAGTTCAAGAGTAGAGTTCTGATTGTGCCATAGTGCTTTCTGTTTTGCCTCGCCTTCAGCATCAAGTTGCTGGCAACTCTGCACCACAGAACAGAAAATAGATGAGAACTCATTACAATTTTGCCATTCCATTGTTAATTATGTCTGATTTAAGCATAACTCACTTACAAATATTTTATATAAATAAAAGCAGAGTTGAAAATGGCCATGTAAAATGTAAGAGTTTTGAAATAATCTACAAAATAATTATGTTTAAACAGCTAATTTGAGTCCAACTATACATTTATAGATTTGGCCATCTTAATCAAATATTGTAAGCTCATAAAAACACATAAAAATATAATAAAATATTATATTAACTTTCCGTAACATGTCAAAAGCTCTTTTTGGATAGTTTTCTTTTCAGCCCTGGAATTCAATTCCCCAAATGTATTGACTTTCCCAGTTTTCTGCAGGAATCCTGAAGCACAAAGATGCTTCTATCCCGAGTCTTCCCTGACACTCACTTGTATAGTAACACAGCCACAGGAAGAGTGAAGGGATTCTGACATTTCTCTTCTTCAGCCTCCTCACACAGAGTAGTAAGATCATACAGCTTCACAATGTCACTCCCACTAGCTGTGGATTCAAGAAAAAGCATTAGAAAACATCATGATAGACAAGTGCACAGTGAACAGTACAAGTACAGACTTAAGATAAAAACATTCTGTTCACTTCACTTCACCTCCCACCTTTGAACAGCCAGTAGGTGTGACCCTCTTTGGTGCAGTTGGACTTTAGGAAAGAGAGGATGTTCTGGGCGATGTCTTTCACCACCCTCGTGGAGAAAGTCGAGTTCTCCAGATGGGGGATGTCCTCTGTTTTTATCATCTCATATTTCTGCAGGGAAAACAATAAAGGCAAAACTATGAAGAAATGTTTTACTACTTTTTCAATAAAAAGCTGGAAATGCCATTAACAATGACTACAGTACATGTAGCTTATGTTCTACTGTGAAGATTAACTACGGCAATCATCAAACAGATGATGATAATAATAATAATAATAATAATACTTATTGCAATACTGCACTATAGCCAACAGTAGTTTACCTGAACAATTCCATTGACATGAAAGCACATGACAAGCTCTGGGACATTACACATCAGATTGTCAAGCCAGTAGTCAATACCCGTCAGAATGTTGATTGGTTTATTGTTGTCCCTGAAAAACACAGTAAGAAAGTTAGATGTTAGATTAATCAAGAGTAATATAGTGGAACCAATGTGTGATTCTGATGAGGTTGAAGCATCCAAAATTAAATTTCTGGTTCACCTCCTGAGGTCAGAAAAACTAAATTAAAAACTGACCTGCCAAGAACAATTCTTACCATCTATAATCACTTTGCATATTCCATGGACATACTACATGTCACCCTATTATTTTCTATGCTATTATGTGTATAGATTCATTTGTGTTATCTTGCTGACACAGACATCTAACGTAAGCCCCCATCAGAAGGCAACAGAATGATGAAGCGCAATACAATTAAAATTATAGGATCACATTATCATTTTCTCACTAAATCAGATTATGGATGGGAGCAAATGATTAAAAATTCCAACCTGAGTCTCAGACTGACGGCAGGATAGCGACCACCTCCAAAAATGGGCATGTTGGACCCAACCAGCATGTGGATATCCTCAAATGTCCACATGATGTTTCGCACAAAGTCGTTCCTTAAACCCTGTCAAACAAGTGACACATAGTGTTTTTTTTCTGGGTTTTTGACTTTATTAGACAACAACAGCTAAAGAGAGACAGGAAAGGGGGGGGGGGGGGGGGGGGGGGGCACAGAAATGAGATCACATGCAACAAATGGCCTCGGGGTGGAATCATACCCAGGCTGCCGCTATAAGGAGTTTGTACATGGTGCACAAGCTCTAACAGGTGAGTAACCGGGGCACCACATCAAAGTGTATTTAACTGTAACTTACAAATGTACATTAAACATGAGCTACCAACTGTAATAGTATACCATTAGTATAATGTAAGTCTTACCTGACTGTTCTCCCCTTCGTTGAAGAGCATAGGGAGGTTTTGCTCTTTGGGTACAGACGTCACCTGGCCCAGAGCAAACTTGCTGTCCACAGAAACACTTTCCTGCACATTTAAACAGTAGCAATTCTGTCAGTGCAAGCTGACAACACCCAAGAGCCTAATCTAATCTAAAAAAGCTTATTTAAACTACTTATTTTCTTATACATTTCATCTCACTAATTACAGAGAGTTGAGTGAATGGCTGCAGCACGCAGGACTGATTTCTAATCAAGAAGAACTTCACATCAGTTGAAATAACACTCATCTCTCCATTCAATCACAAGTCCGGCTAGCACATCATAGACTACAAAATAACTGTCCCATAGCCAGAATGCTCAGGCATGTGATTGGCAAAGGGCAAAAATGCCGGAAAATATACGGAACCCCCCCCCCGGATCAAACTGGAGGTGGCTCTATTATAAAATATAGATGGTAATGCAGGACTCATGACAATAACTTATTTGGTGGATGTATTGCAGTGGGAATTAAAGACAAGTGTCCAATACACTGTCCCATCGCAACCTCTCTTTAATAATTATTATTTTGTATTCATTTTTACTAAACTTCAACAGCTAAATGTGCAACATGCAACATGAAATAATTGAGTCTATAACTAAATAATATAACTACTAACTTTCAAATTAGTTCAGTTGAAGTTAATAGATTATTTTTAATGAATAAGAGACAACAGCAAAGGTTGTCGCCTGTGTAAGACCTGGTGGCCTAACTGTTAAAGAAACAGTTATATTCTTCAGGAAACTTAGATCAAACAATCAGATCAGTCTCAGTCTATTGATAAACTGTAGGAAAAACATTTCAACTCTGGCAGCGGGCGGGCGTGTGCATGAGACAAGAATGACCGCGACAGTTTCACGGGATCACCGTTACACAGAAGCCGCTGCCATGGTTACCTCGCGGAGTGCTTGTTTGCCTGTCTGTTGATGAGGAGCGCAGAGCGACTCCACAGATCAAAGCCGTCTGAAAAGGCCTTATATAAACCCCCTAACAACCATTCACAATAAATGAATTTATAATTTATTTATATAAGCCAAAACCTTTAACATAAGGACGAATTAAAGCGCAACCATTCATACAACAAAGTGTATATAGGCTATATGATTGATCAATTGACAACAAAGTCAAAGTAAACATTAGACATAGCCTATAACAAGCAATAATCAAAACATACCCAATTTATCCGATCCTTATTGTCAACTCAGTGTTGGGAAAGTTACTCAGAAATAATATTACCTACTAGTTACTTAGCATATAGCCTAGGCTTACTCCTTTTAAAAATCTGAACTTAGCAACTTAGTACTGGATGAAAGAACGCCAGGCTCTCCTGATGAGTCCAAGCATCACTGGCAGTAGCGGCCGGAGTTTTTTTTCTGAGCTTCACGTTGCTGTGTTGCTTTAGCTGATGCTTCAATTAGCCGAAGTATAAATGCAGAACTGTTCGCGGTTGAAAGTTTTTTGCTGGTGGCACAAAGTTTACAACGGATGACAATGGTATTTGCATTGACTGTGACACAATAATGGCAATAATGTTACTTACAGCTGTCGAAAATAGGCTACCTCTCTCTCCATGTTCCCCAGTCTTCCTTTAGTTTTGGCTAACAGCTGACTTAAACAACATAAGGTCCTGTGCTGCTGAGCTGCAGCGCGGTCGCGTTTAGTAGCGCAGCGTTACTTGGATTAGTAACTTTAATAATAAAAACTGTTTTGGAAATAGTAATACGTTACATTACTCTTTAATGGGGAAAGAAATATTACAGTATTACTGCCCAACACGCTACCACTGATGCGCGAGAGCGACTGTGGTATCCACTGTGTAGGTGTGGAATGGGCAGCTGAACGCAGACAAACATCCTTGTTGATACTTGGAAAGGAAGAAAACTTTACACACATCAGCCTGTAAATGTCCTCAAATCCTCTCCATTTCACTCGGCCAGCTCCTGTAACCCCCGCCCTTCTTTTTTTTATTACAGATCTGCATGATTCACATGGGTCAGATTTTCAGGTCGGAAAATACAGAATTCCAGGTTAATCCGGAAAAATCACATCCCTGAATGCTGTACCTCCTTGGGAGCATCTGATTCTTCTGCATCAGACGGTGCGCTGGTGAAGGCGGTGGGCCATGAAGAACTGAACTCCTCCGCCCCGTTCTCCTCCTCCCCTTCATTCAGGTTGTCTGGTACAGGCTCTGCAGCACCATCACCATTTATACTGGAGGGAAACACAGACGTTGTAATGGGATAAGACAGAAAAAGATGTACTGTAAAGAGGTCATATTATGCTCATTTTCAGGGTCAAATTCTTATATTAGGGTTGTACCAGAACAGGTTTACATGGTTTCATTTTCAAAAAACACCATATTTTTGTCATACTGCACACTGCTGCAGTTCCTCTTTTCAGCCTGTGTGTTGAACACTCCACACGTTTTAGCCGTGGAGTGATACATCTTGCCTTTACATGATCTTTGTTAGGAGTTGCACATGTGCAGTTCCTAGTTAGGGACTACTAGCTCATCAGAAGCAGAGTAAGGGGGGTCGTGAGAAGCCGGTAAACACGGCTTCGGTTTAGCTGTATATCCCCTTACCAGCTTAGCAACATGGACCGGAGCAAGAGTTTCAGAGTGGTGAGTTATTAATCTGTAACAAATGCATCTTTCATCCATAAAGTTTTAACTGTGCTCTGCCTCTACATCACGGTAACAACTTTATGATTATTGACTGCCTGGAGGGTAGCTAATGTTTGGAAGGGAGAGGAGAGGCAGTAGAGTCACCGGTGTTGTTGAGGGCTTGTCGGACTAGCCGCTAGATGAGCATTATGATGCGCATTTTGCTGTGACGTCACAGACAACAAAAGGACAAGGCTGGACTACAGATGAGCCGTTTTCAGGCAGTTCAGAGCAGTGTTTTCTGTGGGAGATGGTAACTCCCTTTGGGGTAGACTTTGGGCTTTTTCACTTTGCAAACCTATTACATGCACAAAAAAGGTATATAACTCAATAAAGGAGAGGGAAAAAGCCACAAAGCATAATATGACCTCTTTAAAATTAAGTATAACTTCACTCCAATAAAAAGCCCTACTTGTTTTTTTAATATTTTGATTAATGCCAATTACTCACCTGTAGTAGAGGAACTTTGACAGGATTGCTTTCTGATACCAGTGCTCTTTACTCTTTTTTTTCCTCTGCCACTTCTGATCAATTAGTCGCTGGTAAAACTCTTTTAGCCATGTCCAGTCTCCTGTCTACAACACACATAGCAGGGAGAACACAGTCACTTAAAAACTTACTTAAAAGTTCAAAAAGGAAACATTTAAATACAAAAATCCTCGTAATGGAATAGGGGCTCTCCTTGACTCTAAAAAGTCTGGAATATGCCCTGCTGTACCTGAGAAGATCTCATGAAAAGCTCTTGAATGTCCAGCTCATCCAGAAGCAATGTCCTCCCTACGCGGTGAACGGCCATACTGACATGGGACTTGCTGTAGGGAATTTTCAATAGCTTCTTGATGTTCTGAATGTGACAGAAAGCAATGTTAACATCAGGTGTTATGTGCACAAAAAGAAAGAAATGTTTAGCTTTGCAGCAGCTCCACAGACCTCTGAGTCTGATACCACGTCAACATCATCCCCGATGCAGTCAATGAAATCATAAGCCATCCCAAAACTGCAAAAGAAGAAAAGGCACTTAATCACTACTGAGTTTTTACAAATGGTGATGTGGATTAGGGTCAGGTTGATTAATGATTTACAGAAATTCAATGGCCAGGAAAAGGCTTCCACTGATGAATCAGCATCCATGGCTTACCCATTGAAAACCAAAATATAAATGCAGCTGATTAGGGATTATTAGCGCTTTCAGCAATGCAGCAAGAAGTTATCCAAGGCAGTGGTATAAATGTGAATACAATTAAAGCCTACATAAATCTTATTGAGCCCTCACTGTCCACACTAAAAGGTGTTTAAAGGATAAAATTTTTTTTGAAACATTTGTAAACAGATAAATAATTAAATGCCATATTGTGCATAGTCTTTATTATTCTTTTATAACCTGTATATTTTGTCAATTTCATATATATCTATATCTATATCTATATCTCTATATCTATATAGATATATATATATCTATATCTCTATATAGATATATATAGATATATATATATATATAGATATAGATATAGATATAGATATATATCTCACGCACCTAGCCACCAAAGCAAATTCCATGTAAGTGTAAAAACTACTTGCAAGTTTGTTTTTGAAACAACAAGTTTTGGATTCCGTGCAGTAGATGTCTTCAGCCGGCAGCCTTGACCGGCTGCAATGTATTTCTTTGGGGCAAAATATCCACAAAAAGTGCTTCTTTTTGCCACTGACACTCTCAAAAGTGTTATAGGAGGTGTCTGACAACATAATGGAAAGGATCTCTACAAGTGACTCCCGATGACACCCTTTGTTTGTAACAAGAAACTGACAGCTCAATCAAGGACAATTCTCACTGTGAAACCTCCTAAGAGGCGAGTTGTTTCAGGAAGACGACGGTGGACCACTATGGGAACAGGAAGGTGGCTACGTGGTTTAAAAGACTGCTATCTTCACGTAAAGAACGGAAAGCTTACTGCCTTTAATAAGCAAATACTTCTCTACAAAGAGCAACATAGTTTGACACCACAGTAATAAATCAAGTAACGGTATTTCTAATGAAATTATTATACCTGGAGAAAGGCTTGCTCTTGCTGCTGGACCCTAATATAGTGGTGCCAGCGCTGCCCAGCTGGGGGTTTTCTCTCAGCCAGTTGGCAGGAGGCAGCTTCAGGTCTGTCTTCTCCTGCAGCAAGGCATAGGTGGTAGGAGGTGGGGCAGCAGAGTACTTGACAACAGCGCGGCTCTTTATTTCACTGCTGCCTGTGCATACTGCAGAGTCCTTCAAGATAACAAAAGTAAAACATGCAACCAGGTATCACTGATTGAGGTTGGAGTTGGTTTCAGAGTCTGGTCCTTCTACAAGGACCTTTGGCTATTAAACAGCTTTCATGGTTAATTTGCATCTACAGCTGACTGTGTCTGGTGAATCTGTAAATCTACTATCTTACCATTCCAACTGTAGGATAGGAAGACACATCTATTACCATCTTACATAGAAAACTACCATGTTTGTACAGGAACAGCCCGTGAAATAGCGTCTCTTTGTTCTCTGCTCGGTGTAGTTACTTACATGTTTGCTGCTCTCTCCTGTGCAGGTAGGGCCACTGATTTCTTCCTTTGCATTATCCAAGGGGATCCCAGGCTCTCTGTCCCCAGCTGATGCGCTCATACTGGACACACGTCCGTTCAACCCAGCCAACACTGGCAATTTTTAATAACTACACAACATACCCATGGTTTTGACAACTCATGGACAATGTACACATTAGCTAGACAACAAGCGAGATGCGTCAATTATGTCAATAAAGTTATTCGTGTCACTAGTTTGCTAGCTTGACAAGCTAACTTAGCTCCTCGAAAGAGCAACCCTGACTTAGAGCTGTAAAAAATTTAAAAAAAAAAGTGTAGTCACACAACACGGTTGTTCAATTAAAGCTAAACGACACTCACATGAGAGGCTGTTGTCGCTTTTTTAGCATAAGTAATGTGTAGCCCTTACTTAACTAGCTGAATAAGCCTGCAGCTTCTTCTCTTCTTTACCAGTCAGCCAGTCTGTTGTTGTCAGAGCACAAGTTAGTGCGAGCACCGAGCAAACAACAACTTCCGGTTTCACCGTCCAAAACTTAATATATTTCTTAATTCGACAACCGTAATTAATCCGCATCTTAGAAAAAAAAGACACGATATCCTTTAGCCGTCTCTAACGTAGAATATCAGCTTATGTTACATGAAATATTTCAGCATTCGTGAGTGACTGATGGAGACAAATGTATGAACCGGAAGTACTTTCACAGCTGCCAAATCTTTCTAGAAAGACTGAGTACATTCTGTTCTGTTCTGCTGTATTTTATTTTGAAATCTACTCACATGTTGCCTTCCTATGTGTTGCATGTATTTTGTTTAGTTATTCTTTTACGGACATTTATTGTAGCGAAAAGTATATATATTAAATTTAATTAAAATAAATTAAATTACAAAAAACATATAGAGTAATAGAGGAATTGAAGTATTGAGATATTTTATTGATGAAGAAGTAGCTATATCTGAAAAAAAATCTAAAAATACCCTTTAAAAGGAAAACATTTGCGACACAAAGTAAAGAACAAAAGTAAAAATGCTCATTAAGTGGTTTGTTTGTTTTTGTTTGTAGTTATATGCATAAGCTACAAACAAATAACATAAAGTATTTAGATTTTATAACAAAGTAAGTAGCAGGCTTACCTATACCTGCAGCTCACAAAAGTACAAAAGTGAGAAAGTAGTTATTATTATATTATATTATATAGGCAGTGGATCGGATGAAGGTCAGAGGTTATATAAGGTCAAGCAGCTGACTGACCGAACAGGGAGGAGCTGTGAAACGTTGCTACAGGCAGTTCGTTCCTGTGCTGGTGGCAACGTTTTCGACCTCGCCAAAATCAAATGGGACCTGAAAAATACAGCAACTCCGACGCTTTCGGACATTTAGTATAGCCAAAAGTTTATTACAATGGGAAGCTGGAAGAATCACGTTCGTGCTCGACTGCAACAGAGAGACCAAACTGAGAAAGTCCCATACGCTGGCGTTTTCACAAGCTGTAAGATTGTCCTTTCTCGGTCTTTGCAATAATGATGTCATCACTGTCTTCATCCAAGGACATATGTCTGTTTTATTTCTAGTGTCTCAGTTGGAGGAACGTTTTGAAGTTCGCAAACAAATTTTGGATGAAGTTGAGTTGAAGAGGTTAGAAATGTAGGATTTCACTTCACCCCATATTTGGCCTTACTATTGATCTGGATGCTCAAAGCTTGATTTTTTTGTTTGTTTTAAATCTGTACACTTTGTTTTTATTTCCAGTTTAGAACTAGGTGGGGTTGAAGTTGAGAAAAACACCAGTCTCCTTCAACTCCAACTGAGAGAGAGTGAACATCTGTCAGAAAAGGTGGGTTAAATGAAGAGAAATTCAATGGGAAACACCATAGCATCAGACATTTCAGCAATCATTTAAGCAGTAGCAGTTTGCACAAATATTTGTTCTGATAATCAGAAAGTGAATGAATAGATAGCATTAGGTGCCTTTTAATCTTGTAAAATTATCATTGGCTAAATTACAGCAGGGAAAGACCTTTAAACTTGTGAAATTCACCATTCAATCAAAGGATCTTTGCTTCTTGAATCCCCAGCTGTCTCAGACTGTCTCGGACCTGACCACCGTCCTGTATCTGAAAGAGGCTGAACTGCAGTACTGGCAGTCACGGTAATTCAACTGAGCATAATCCTAAAAGACAAATCAACATTGTTTGCTAAGCCCTCTGGGTGTTTGGGTCATATTTAGACACCTTAGAAAAATGTATTGGCAGGGCCACTAAAACACTGTGATGAAGAAGCATAAATCCCGCTTTAGCCATTTGGTGGATGAATTTAAAATCCAGCATCTTACAGTTTGAAGTAACAATACCACAAGGTGATCAAAGGTACAATCATGTAATACAATATCTGCCATTTCATCTCTTGGCTGTTTCAGTGTGTCCCAATACCATCGAGAGGCTCTTACTCTGGCTAAAGAGAGCAAAACCCTGAAGGCGACCCTTTCAGAATATGAGTTCACCGCAGAGTGTCAATCCAAAGAGTTGGCAGCCGTGCGTTCGGCGCAGAAAGGACTAAAGGAAGAGTTGGCACAGGCTTGGAGAGAGAAAGAAGAACTCTTACAACGATGGATGGAGGAGAAGAGGGAGGAGGCAGACAGGTTGAATAAGTACAACGACACACAGGAAAGGTAAGGGAAGTGACAGTTTGATCTCTCAAAGCTCCAAAATAAGAATGTATAACATAAGGATCCCTGCGTTTCACCAGGTGGCAACGTTTGGCCAAACAGCTGAAGAAGCACCTCCATAGGGAAATGAGAAAAGAGCATGTCCCCATAGTGACGAGCTCTTGGAGTGGTACAACAGAAACGTGTCCATCAGTCATTCAGAGTAAGAATCAGCGTTCTCTTCAAAATGTTAATGCATAATGCAGTAGATACGAGGCTGCCTCTTAATTTAAAACCATTACTTAAGTGCTGCACACAGATCCTTGTAGACACCAATAGCCTTCATGGAGATCATCCTTATGACCCTCTTAATTAACACGGTGTAGTTGATGAGGTCAAGATAAAAAGAGCTCCTTAATGGTGAATAGTTATCGTGATTAACGAAGCACTAATTGCACTGATGAAGGCCCATTTAGCCTTCATCAAATAACTCAGTGGGCTTGTAGAGAAAAATGGCCAAAGTCCGCTCAAAGCTATCAAGTGCCTCATGTACAGTACTGAGGTTATGTTGTGCTCAACCCCAACTGACAGGTCCAACTACCTCAAGGATTCTCTGGCTCTGCAGTTTCAAAGGAGTCATGATGATAATGCATTAAGGCAGCAAAATCTAACCACCTTCACTTTATTATGAAGTTTAAATTGGTACTGGACCTGGACGCAGGAGGCAGCCTTTTTTATGCATTATTTGTGCTTTAACATGATCATCAGGAACAGGCCCTTAGCTAACCCCGATGTCACAATATGTCATGTCCCTGGTGTTTTCTTCTGAGAATTTGGGGGCTATATCAACATGTAGGGTGGGTATTTTGCAGGCTGATTCCTCTTTGTCTAAACTTGATGTACTTTTGACTACTTTCAGGCCAATAAGAAAGGAAAAAAAGAACTACATTGGGAATATGAGTGTTAAATAAAATATACTCGATTGTTAGAAAACTTTTGATTGATTTTCAAAATCAGGAACTACTGTATCAAAGAACAAGTAAAAGTATCTGACCAAGACAGTATTGATTTTTGATACTCCTTGCAACGTCCCGTTTCGGTCAGCATCAACAAAAAAAAGTATCGATGTTAAATGGCCTTCTCTATAAACAACAGAATTTTATACCTGGCAGTTTTGATAAGGCTTTGAAACTACACTTAGACCTTCATTTTGGGACATAAAAGTTACAGAAACTATAATACAACAGTTATAACAGAATACAGTTACAATAAAGTAAAACATGAAAAAGTCAAATAATTAAGGGGAGGTGGTGGTGGCGGGAGTTTGATGACCTTGGTGTATTTCTGTCTACTGTCCTCGCCAGGACCCTCGCATCTAATTGTGCAGAAGGAATGGATGGCACCCTCTTCAGCTGTGTGTTCAGTGTAACCTAAAACATGTAATTCAACCTTTTTGTCGCGCTCATCTTGTCCTCAGGGATCAATAATACAACAGATATACACCGGGCTCTCTTGGACCACAACCATGTCTCAGCTGTGTCAAAAGTGTAATATTCCCATGGGATCCTGCAGATGACAGTTCTAAGCTCAAGGATTACCCCTCTGGTTCCCCCAGTGCTTGTAGTTATAAAATGAATTGCCCATATGAGATGTCAGAACAATGACCATGGAGTTGACCCCCCCCCCCCCCCTTGCAACTTTAAGTGTTATGACAAATGGTTTAACTGTATATGTTTGTTAATGCTCCTAAAAATGTATTTATATTATAGGCTCTAAATATATTGTTTAATTTATACTTTGCTAGAGTTCCTAACTGTATGTTTGCTGCTTTAACTAAAATCACCCCTTTTTTCCCAAGAAATGTCAAGTACACTACAGTTAACCTATCACATGTGCACTTTGTTCTAATTTGACAATTTAGAACAACCTCTGCTCATCTAGTTCATATCATTTAAATTGCAAAGGCTGGTGTTGTTGCTGGCTTAGTTATAGTGACTATTTCAACTTTTAACTCTTGTTTATTTGCAAACTTCCTCAGTTAAAAAAATATTTGAAAATAATTGAATAACCTCGTATAATAATAACCTTACTTTTAAACTCTATTTTAAAATTACTTTTGAATAATTAACATTTCTTATTAAAATATAAAAACCGAATTCTATCCCAGATGTTGTGTTGTAAGTATGTAGTGTTGTTTTTCTATTTCAAGTGTTTAAAAAAATAAAGTCACTTATACTCTAATTTTGTTTGTTTTTAAGTGAACTGCCTCTCTGTCACTTTGTCATCCATCAGAGAAACTGTTCCTGATTGAAAACAAAGTTATGTATGTTATGTTAATTCTTGACCACACTCATTGCAGTCATTTTGGCTTCTGAGGTCCTGAACAAACAAACAAACTGGGTAAAAGACAGGAAAATTCCACATCGTACATTTAAATAATTCATTTGCTGTATTTTAATATTACAGTCACAGTTATCATGTCATGAATATTTTTTTTCTTTTCCTGTCGGAATTCCAGTTCCACATCTCCATGGCAAATTGAGATCACATTTCAGGTTGTTTGTTTGCTGCACGTTTCCATAGTCACCAGTGTTTGCATTAGTTGTTAACTTGGACTGTGTGTGGTGTACTCAGTGGACTTGGACTATTAAAATGGTAAAAGGTGGAAAGCGGTATTCTTCAATGAGCAACGATGGCAAATGGGTAAGAAATCCTTTATTTCATCACATAATCAAATCATTACAGATTGTAACATTCAAACCTGGCTTTTCTTCAATTTTCTTCTCAGTTTGCTCATCCAGTTTTACCAGAAAATGAGACAAGGAATCGTGAGACTTGTACAAGCACTGGGATCATGCTGACTCAGGTTAAACCATCATTGCCTCAGGCTTTCAACTTCAAGCACTATCCAAAATGGAAAACTCAGCAGGTGTGTATCTGCAGTAGGTAATACAGTGTCTGGTGGGGCTACCTATCGAAGCTTTTCTGCAGAGATAGAAAGAGCCTTCTCATTTAATCCAATTACACTGTGTTCAGCAAATTGTTCTTCCAATATGTTTCTTTTCAGGAACCCAGAGAATATCCATTCTCAGACCATGACAACAAGTATGCTTTAAAAGACAACATCTCTATCTTCACTCATGTGAGTATGAAGAGAAATTCAGATCAGATACATCACCACATAACTCCTTGAAAGGAAACCTTATCTTTTCTGTATCCTGTTGGTATATTTCAGGGTGTGGGACGCAGGAAGTGTCTTGAAGAGCACAGACAGCACAACACCCACTTCTGCCTTTGCCATGACGCAGCTGACAGCAGCACTGAAGAGATTGGGGGGAACATCTACCACACTGACTTTGTGGTGAAGCAGGCTGTTAATGTTCCAACCAGCACCAGAAGGTTCCCCCGCAACCACAAGCAGAAGTCTGCAGAGGCAGCTTTGGCACAAGCAGGGGAGCCATTCATGTGGTTTGGACGACACGACTCTGACCCCTCGGAGAACCTGCAAGGGCTGGCACCTTCCAAACCCTAAGATGGTCCTACATTTAGGGCACTAGATGGCATAGCATAGAGAGGGTCCAGCGAACTTTCCGGAGGGTGCTGCTGTCAAATAAAGCATTGAATTAGAAACGTCAGATAGCATTTTCTCTTGTTAGGAGAAGCCTGGAGTATTTTGACAGTTATATTATAGGGAAAATTAGGAACTTTACAAACCAGATTTTATTCCACAACAAATCCAAATAGACTGGAAAGTGGACTGTGAACAATCCACTTAAAGTAAATTATTAGTCAATTATATAATAAGATGTACTGATTATAGATAGATAGATAGATAGATAGATAGATAGATAGATAGATAGATAGATAGATCTATCTATCTATCTATCTATAGATATATATATTAGTTAATTTACTGTGTTTAAGTGGATTTGATGATGCTATTTTGAGACATGTAGTAAATTGTCCTGTATTTAAATATACTTTTATGCACATAATCTGTATGTAGGCTACTTGAAATGTAACGTTAAAAAAAAGTCAGTAAAGTGTCAGTGTCAAATTACTCTTTCAGGTATGTTATTAAAATGGATTAAAGCGACTCTTTTGATTTGGCATTACCCTTATTAATTTGGGATACTCACAAAAGCCAGTGTCAAAAATTAAGCAGCAGAGGCCAATATATCCTAACTTTACTGGACAGTTCTTTATTATCAGTAAGTATCGGAATCGCAGCAAAATATATCTTTTTTTGATTCCACACATTCTTTACCTTGTCTTTGTGCCTACCTTGCACACAATGCAACTCGACCACCCACAGCTCTGTCATTCGGGTGTGTTATGCTACTAGTGGCTAATGCAGCCTGCATGCTAGCATCAAGCAGAGATGAGGTGCAGGCTACAGTAAATGATGATGTAAACTCATCGTTTCCTAACACCACACCACCAGATTCTAATTCATATTGACAATTTTAGTCTTTAAACCCAATTAATGCTACCTCAACTTATGTCACTGAAGGTATTTTATCAGACTTTCCAGAGCCAATTTACATCCCCTTTAATGGTATCTTAATATAGCATTGTCAAGTGCACTTTAATGTAGTCAAGTATATGTTAAATATGTTAAATCTTCCTAAATATATTTATACTAAGCACCATTTTAGTATGTCACAATTAGCACATTTAGCCTAGTGCATTAATCATGAGTGTATTTGAAAGCACACTTAATATACTAACATTAAGTATAATTTAGTGTAGTATTTTACTGTGCGGGCCTTTTTGTAGGTGAGAAAATAAGAGCAAAATAGGAGCAATACACTTTTAGGTAATGGAAGCATCTAAACACAATCATGGATAGTCATGATTTCATTTCTATCAGGGGCCACTGGAGGAGCCCCTTGAGGGACATTTGGGATATTGTGATAAAGAAACATCAGTAGTTCACAGTTTTGCCAGCAGAGGACGGCAGGTGTGCATGGGTAATCAGTAGGCTTGATGATCCACGAGTTGTTCAACAGCCAAGTTGTGTGAGAATATAATAACCAAAACCCCCGTGTATTGTGCATGCTCTGGAGAAAATGTGGGAGGAAATAAAAGAATTCTGCTATTTTTATTCAATGCATATCAACATGAAGACATTAAATTAGAGCATGTGAAATAAATTAAGCTTGATTTGAGTCATAATGCATGGGTTAGTTTCACCCCTGGGGATGAAAGGGATGTGTGTGTGTGTGTGTGTGTGTGTGTGTGCCTTCCATACAAGACAGAAGAAAGCGTGGGAGCGAATAACAGAGAACACTGCTCAGAGAAAAGCACTTAAGAGAAGAGTATCCCCAACATCTCTCTCCAATAGCTGATGTTTTCTCCAGAGTACATTCTGACCAGCTGCTTGCTTTACTGTAAGTACCCACCGGGGAAATAGTTTTTTCTCACAAGCTTTCTTTCAGCAATAGTAATTAGCTGATTCACATGCAGCACTGACCTTGTAAGAGTTTGTTTCACTTTTCAAAGGTGACATCTCATAGTTTTTCATATAGCAAGACAAGAAAGCTGTTAGACATCCATCTGGAACTGCCATCCTTTGTGATTTCACTTTGAGAATGTCGCACACATTGTTGCCTGCAGGTGCACAACTGACACCAAGCTGCAGGGCGAGGGGTTTGTAATGAACATACCTTTGATAAAACAAACAGGTGCACAGATGGGGGGGGGGAGGTTACCAGCTCTATTTTAACCCCATCTTTGCCATGTCACTGAGACAGATGCCTACTGTATATCGTTGCTATACATTTTTGTTTGTCAGATTAAAACAAATTAACCTAAAACACTTGAGTGTTTATTAAAGAAAAACACCTGTGCCTTGTGTTTGACAGTTGGTTCTGTCTGGTCTTGACTGGTTGTCTGCCACCTCTGTCCCTGTGGGTGCAGTTTGCAGACTTCCTTTGGACTTGCTACGACTTGAACAACTCCTCCGCATGGAAGCCACCAACACTTCATAATCAGAAACTCTCATTAGCGCTGTCAGAATAGCAGTAAGGCTTTTAATACTTCACAGGGGAGTGAGAACTCTTAGGAGAGCGCATTGAAATTGTGTGTCAATCATAGTCAGTATGTGGTTGTGTGTACTGGAAGTGCCATGTTAGGCAGGATACGCGTGTTTTATCATGTAGAGGCAAAGCCGTGAGTATATGTAAATACACTTACTTGGTGGAATATCAAGCCTTCTCGCAAGGACAAAAGACACATCTCAGTAAACAAGCATTCAACCACTAAAGCCTTGCACTTCATGAATATTAAATTAGACACTTTGAATCCTACCTCTTTGGTGTTAGGAGGCCCTAGTCTGGATTCTTACCATTTGCTGTGATTTATTCGCAGGTGCATGTGTCTCTTTGATGTGTTGAGTTGAGAGGTTTTGCACCTGTAAGAGAAAAAAAAGCTTTCAAAACAGGAGGTGGATTTGCCAGACAGTCAAAATGACAGCGACAGAAGGAAGATTTGTGTTACCCTGATGCATTGTGTGCGTGTTTTTGTGTGTGTGTGTGCGTGCGTGAGTGTGTGTTCTTTTCAAAAAAGAGGCTGCTGTGCTGTTTTGACATACTCTGTTGTGTGCACAGCCAAATCACTTTTTGTCAAACAAAATCTATCTAAATGTTAGTTTTTTTCATGTCAGTTTTGGCATCTGTTCTGACGTTGTGCATTTTGCATTTTGACCATTACCTATTCATTAAGGATGTGACTTGAAAAGGGAGTTGCCATGGAGATGCTGCGGTTAAATCACATAGCTCAAACACTTTTTTTCCTGTTTATTCTTTTGCCAATTATACTGTAACTAATGTCTAGCTTCCCCCTGTTTGTTTAGATTCCCCCCTCTCCTCTTATATCCTTTTTGGGGACTGACCTTTCAGACTGAAACCCCTTCCCCCTCAGAATCATGTCCAAATAATAACTGTAAAGTCCGTAAGGGCCTTCAGGCCTTCAGGAGAAGCCTCCCTTGGCCTGGGTTACACTGGGTTACTCCTTCCAATCTCCTGACAGTCATTCCACTTGCGCTACCTATTTCCTGACAGTCTCTTTTCACAGGCAGCCAGTTAGTGGTTAGTGTCCCCTGCCAGCCTATGGTCCTTGTTCCGTAATGGTCAGGGGCCCTCCAGAGTCTGAGGGTAGTGATAAAGGTGGCTGGCTATCTCATTTCCACAGAGGACAAGATAACATCCTGAGAACATTCCCATCACTCTAGGAGTTTGTTCAGTTGAGATAAGAGCTCCCCTGCTAAAGCTCAGCTACGAAGCTCTGCGGGTGTGTATTTGTGGTACTGAACATGTGTTTAAATGGAGAGCTTGTTGCTGCAGTCCTGCTTTGGTCTGCTTCCCATGTTGCAGGCCCAGCATCATGGAATCGAGGAGTGCTGCACAAACACTGCCTCAAAAGATCAGACCTCTCCTTGCACTTAATCACATTCATTCCTGTATTTTTCAAACCTCCGACACAGTTTACATGCTAATTTGTGTGTAGGTGGTGTGTATAATTACATTAGGCGGGTTTTAAGCAAAGACTTATAAGCAGCAGCCTGAACAAGTATCCCACCCGAGAGAGAACAAGAAAATAGTTTATACAAGGATGGATGAATTTATCATGCATAGTTTAGAGAAGAAAATCACATGCCAGACGGTGGCAGTTTGTAACTTGTGATTAAATAGCAAAACTGTGCTAAATAAGAGTAAAAAAGATTGATTGGTTTCATTTACGCCCGATGTCTTTAGCATTTGAAATGAGATACTAGCTAAATGCCAAATTTTTCAAGCATAAAGTATTTTGGATTCTCTGCTTCTGTTATTTGTTATAAATTCAGAGTAAGGGGCAAAATGCAGAGGCAACCTTGAGACGACACGAATGGACATTTTTATCCTCCGCTCAGAAACACACAGTGGCTCAGTTTGGCTTGCCACTTTTGTACAATATTACCAAGTATTTCATCACTACTTAAGAAGCTCCACCCTTTTAGTTTCCTCTTGTCTGCTCCTTCATAACCTCAGCATCACAGCCTGTTAATCTCATTAGGTAAAATGGATACATATATTGAGATTTATGGATCAGGAGCCCGACCACACACACCGCAGAATCTGCTTCTTTACACTGTCTCTCATAGTTGTCCAAAAGGAGGTTGTTATTTCAGGAATCTGATGAAAAAATATGTCAACAAGTGAAGTTAGTCACATTTGACATGTTCCTCTAATTGGATGAGACAAGTGTAACTTAAACAAAGTGACACCTCAGACAATTTAGCTTAAATTCTGCATCCTTCGGCTGCTGCTTTCTGTGTAAAGTATGGAGACTGCTGTTATTTTTCAGATGTTACTCTATAACTTCCTGCTTTCAGGTCCATTACATGCCCTATCTACGGTTCATGCAGTCAGCCTTGAAAACTGCGCATCTCACATAAACATTCACAGTGTTCTATTTCCTGCTGTTGAAGGAAGCAAAAACACACAAAGACCTCACAACAAGTCTAATTAAGTGTTTTCACACTTATTCTCCAGTCAAAGGGGTAAATCTGCCTCATTTGCATTCTATTGGAGGCATAAATATAAGCCAATGAATGTCTTTTAAAGGCTGCGATGAATGTGTCAGAGGCCTTAATGTGGTGGAATATAATTAGATGTGAGTGCGGTCAGAGTGGTATTGTGTGGCTTTGTTTGAATCATATTATGTCATCTCAAAAGCAATGTTAAGAGACATTTTGCTGCTGCACCGTATGCACACTTAGTGAAGGAGGCACATATAGTACAATGGCACACTCTTAACAAGCTGACATCATTATCAAATGTAAATTACACTCCCATGAGCTGCTCATTACAATATCCCATATGTAGCATGTGTCACAAGTTGTTAATCTCATTTTAACATGATCTCCACTTTTTAGCTGTTGATAATTATAAGTGCCCTGGTAGTGATTGCAGTTTTTCTCAAGAAGGAGAAAACATGTGAAATGATGTGAAATGTTTATCTAAAATCATGAGTGAGGTCACTACAGAGGTGGCGGGGTTGTCCATAGTAACATATACAAGGTTATTTTGAATAGAAATAGATTATTTGATCGAA